AGAAGCCAATAGAAGAAAGGAGAGATCAGTGGTGAAAGAGAGGATGATTAAATGCAAAGATCGGCGATAGAAGGAGGAGTTTTTTCATAGTACTGTACGCTGCACTGAATATGGAAGTGAAGAATAGTGCTAGGAGAGACAAAAGACAATTCCACTACACATTGGCTGTCCACTGAATCAGAACAAGCAGGCCTCAGTTAAGAGAGACATCAGAAAATAATACCAGACAGTCACGTCTCTATCCGAGAAGAGGTCAAATGAGGTGAGACCTATGAATGATGGTCAAGGGAATCTGATTACCAAGGAGGATAAACAATTCAGACAATGAACTTATCGCTACAAAGGACTCTTGAATCGACCATCACCTGCAAATCGTACGGAAATACACCACCAACAAAATCACTCACAGAACTGCCTGCAAGTGGACACCAATCCTCCAAAGAAAGCAGACACTTTGATTGTTTTCAAGCCACCGAAGTCCGGCTAATAAGGTTTGGAGGCGTTCGGAGCAAATACAGGAGTAAGACAAGCTGGCTGCCTATTATCACCGATGATACTACTAGCTGTGATGGAATAATAATAATCTTAGTCTTTAAGTTACATACTTCAAACACACATACAAGCAGATGAACTCCTACCCCATTTTCTCCCTTGTACTGGAGATCATCATATATCCATATGAAGTTTGTGATCATATGAATAGAATTTAATGTGTGTACATCGCGCATAAGATTCGATTTCCACATATTCGTTATTATTCACAATCATTTATTTTGAAAACTGGTGTTCAATTCACTGTTACAGTTATACATATTAATTACCACATACACTTGTAGTGAACAATAATCCATTAACAATCTATTCGCCTTCACCTCTTGGAATTTTAAAGTCAGTGTTGCGATCCTAATTTATAAAGCGTTTGTATTGTCAATAAGAATAATTCTTTCATTATTATGGATATATAACTGTAGAAACTGATGAAGAAGCTGTCGAAAAATGCATTCATTGTCCAGTTATCCGTCTTGAAATGTTTTAGTAAATTGCACTGTTAACTTTACTACCAATACCATATTTTTACTAAAGTAGAATATTTTAGTTTCAAATTTTCTTTATAAGACCAAGCACTATTGTACATTCGTTACCAAACAATCAATATTCCACCCTCTCTTCCTACAGGCATGCAAATTCTACCCAGATTATCACACCGACCGACTAACTAGATTGTACAAACACTTACATTAATTAACACATTATTATTTGTATTACTCTTATTATCACTCCGAAATATTACTAAAACAAATATGTATAATTATGTGTAAGCTATTAAGATATAATTATAATTTATTTGATCTATTCCACAATGCCCAAAGGTTTGAATGACATTAATTCTATAAACTAATTCATATGGACTTATCCAAAACTACTGTTGAGTTTACTTTGTCAGCTTTTGCGATGACGATGTTTTTATCTTGTTTTAGACTCAATAAAGCTAGTCTCTCCGATGTTGTTAAGTTTGATTTTGCTTTCTTTTGACTTTTCAGGGTTAATGCACATTCTGCTCGAACCTCTTCTGCTGTCATCTTAACTATTGAACTTAGTGCTACTTCTGTGTTAGGAATGACATCCTCTGGCTTTAATTTATTAACTGTTACGTTGAAATTTAGTCCTTCCTTATATCATATGGGCTTATAATGAATCTGTCTCTAACTTTTGATCACAGTCCATACAATTTAGTTTACTTTGCTTTGGTGTCTAGTCATGATTTACATGATTGGACAAGGTGTGTTAAAGATTTGATGTGTCCTCTTATTTATCCACCCTTATTTTAACTTTGACTGATTTCCCTGAGTAATAATTCGTATGAAAATTTTCAAAAGACTGGTTACTGAACAAAGAATATTCTTTTCAGTAACTTCATCATCAGTTTCTACAGTTATATATACATTATTGTGAATGAATTATTGTTATGAACAACATTAATTTTTAAATAACATTAAATAAGGTGCAGCTTCAAGTACTTTCCGTAGGCCTTAAATTTTGCGATGGACCGATATGACTGAATCACTTAGATACTGATATTCTATTAAAAAACCTCTTTAGTTAAACAAGGGATCTAATTCCATCTTATACCCTGGAACTAAAACGCTTTAAGTCTAGTCTAGTGGATTGTTGTTATCAGTACAAAAACATCAAATGCGAAAGTAAACGTTTCTTGACAAAGGAGCACAGATAAGAACTAAAGAAACTGATAAATGATGAGAGACTGATAATCACAGAGCCGGATAAAGGATCGGGAGTAGTCCTCCTGGATAGAAGTGACTATATTAAAAAGATGAACGATATACTGAAGGACCCACAGAAGTTTCGAAAACGCGAGGACAAGAATGATTTCAATAACTAAATAGAAAACGAATTAATCAAACGTTTGAAGAAACTTAGGTATGAGCAGATATTCCCTGAAAGTTTATATAAAGAAATCAGGCCAATGGGCACCTACATGCCAAGAGTGTATAGCCTACATAAGGTGCATAAACCGAGGGTAGAGTTATGGCCAATACGTGATATGCAAAATTCCATAGCAAGATACTATGCTCTAGATAGATGGTTAGTAAACATTCTCAAACCTTTGCATGAGAAGATAGTGAAACATAGCGTCAAAGATGTATTGGAGTTCGTAGACAAAATCAAAGAAACTATTATCAAGAACAAAACCATGAAACCTTTGGAAATAATATCTTTATTCACAAATGTATTTCTAGTAGAAACAGCTAACTACATATGTGAACAAGTGAATAACCAGTCAATAAATATTGGCATCCCAACGGAAATCCTAAGAAAATTGTTATTACGGTGTACCATGAATGTAAATTTCAAATTTGACGGCATACTTTACAGACAAGTCGATAAGGTGGCGATGGGCTCCCTATTGTGTCCCATTTCGGCAGATTTCTTCCTAAGTAAACTAGAAAATGGACCTTTAGACAACCTTATCCGAAAATTCTCACTTTATTGCCGGTATATAGATGGCACCTTTATTTTTGTGATAATGATTCGGTTAGGAACACAATAATAACTGAATTCAATGAAATACATTCTGCTATGAAATACACTTGCGAAGAAGAATCTCAAAACAGAATTGCCTTCCTGGATGTTCTACTTACAAAACAAAACTAGTTGTTAGCATAAAAAGAAATTTGCATAGGAAAACTACATGGACAGGACAATATACACATTTTTACAGCTTCGTTCCTCTCAAGTACAAAAGAAATTTAATAAAGATCCTCAGCCACAGAGTTAGAGCTATATGCTCAGAAAAAGTAACTGAAGATGAATTAAGCATTTTATATGATACCTTGATTAAAAATAGATATCCCGACAAATTTACCAAGAAACACATAACAAAGAAAGCCGAAAAGGACTCCTCAGTATCCGTAAACAAGAAATTGTAACACGTAACTGTAGTGCCTGATGCGAAATTATGGAGAATACGTATTTGCTTACAAATGCATCCTATGATAATCATAATAGAGAATATTCAAATTATGAAGACAAGAGTACAACTTAAGATAATATTGACAACTCTCCGGTATCGTTTGAAAAACATATGCCTAGATGTTAGTGAAGGTTATGGGAGGTATTGACTCCTTTTAAACCTAACGTTTAGATCGAAAATAATTTGTGTCAACTGACTCAGCTGTGCTTTTTACTCAAAGACCCACATACCTTGACAATTGTTTTGGTACCTTGTATAGAACGCCAAACGCTGGAATTTCGAAAATCTCTTTCTCCATTTCGACTATGTGTGTTGATATGCGATTACTGATCGACCTGTGATTCTGTTTCCCAACCACGATGGATAACAACGCATTCAAATGGCAGGCAACGTGAGGCTCATCAAGTCCTTCAGTCAATGTAACTCTCTGTACAAACGCAGTTTAAGTTAGAATGCACACTGAAATTACCAGAATTCATAGGTTATTCGTTACCTGCACTAGAGTCACACAAACGGTGGCGACGTTCAGGCATAGTTTGTGTCAGACAATATTTTATTAATACTCTTGTGTAAAGCTTGAGCACTGCGGTGGTGCGTAATTAATTTGAATTAATTTGTCTATAAAATGCATTACACAGTGGAGCGGTAAATACTATTGTCAATGTGTGAAATATCCAATAAATGAATGATTGTGAAAGCAATGCTTTGGTCATTTATTAATTTTCTGAGTGTCCACACTAGCCGTTCAGTAACTGCGTCTCCATTGGATACACACGTCATTGTACTGATGAGAATGGGTTCGTATGCTGAAGAAGCGAAATATGTAGAATGTGTGCATCTGCCAAATCATTAGGGGAAAGGGCCGCCTACCACTAGTATCTGGCACTCTTGTTAGCAGGACACAGAAAAATTACAAAGTGTTGTGTTATCCTGCCTCGTATGAGGGTGGGTAGAGAGGCGACACCCACAGAATCCATCCTTCTCATAACCAACCTCTCACTTTTTCCATGAATTCAAAGGTTTCATTCAGACCATACTTAGCCACTTTCAGTTACAATGGTTAGAGTATGTCTGCCAGTTACCTCGCCTCTCCATCATATGTTGAGTTACATATGTTGAATATTATTCGAACAGACAAGTTTCGTCCATGAAATTTCCGTTGTACCATAATGAATGATTTAGTCGAACAAAATCAAATCTGTGCAATGATTATAAATTTTTACGGTGACTTTTTTCATCCTCATAATTTAAAGTCAGTTTCGAATAATTTACTGCGAATAAACTAAATCTATTCAAATGCAGTATCACAAGTCTCATCGGTTTCCTGTCTTAATTTAACTTCTTAATTGTACTTTCCATTTGCGCCTCATCATTTGATGAAATGCTTTTCATCAGTAGTCGTTATAAGCAATCTGTACAGTCCACCAATCATGAGGTTTTTAGAAAACGTTCATTCAAGTCTGATTGTATAAATAGAAAGGAGTTCAGTCATAGCATACACATTAGCATGAGACTTCACTGCTTGCCAATCTGCGCATTTGTTATCGGTCTGTTCCTAGGCTCATCTGTAGCTAGTAGTAAGTTTTCATTTTATATAACTTTATGCTTGAGAATTATGCTTAAATTACTGTGAATGATTTTATATTTTGCACATTCTAGTCTTATATGATTTTGATAAACCCATTAGCATTAAACAGAGAAATGTCAGCAAAAACAGCACTCTTTTGTTTCTTATTCATTGGTGTTGCACATACAGGGAGTGATTATTCTTATGTAAAGCCACTGACTCAATGTATTTTGCCATCTACCCGAATCAATTATTACGTATGCTCTTGAAAGCTGTTTAATATCAATGTTATGTTTCGTGATCATAATTTATTTTGCTATAGATGAGATTTATGGTGTCCCAGATGTGTTTATGTAGGTTTTGTGTTCAGCTGGTTTTCAAACGCCTAGATATATGCTTCCTCACCGTCGCGTCCACAGAAATTTCCTGCCATCTTCATGAACACATATGCTACCTGAAGTCTTCCATTGCAACATATTCACAGTTGAACCAACTTGGATTACTCGGTCACACACCATTTCTAATATGAATAAATCACCGTTTATTATAGTTAGTATAAGCATTCACCACTTCACCCACAGCATGTTCCCAACTGCGAGGTTTCATTGCTCGCCAGTCGGTGAATTTCTTAGCAGACTATTGTTAAACTGATTCGTAGTTTCTGTTGTGTGTTCAGTCTATATTCCACTTACTATTCAGTAAGATAATTTGAGGAATTACAGTGTTTAATTACATTCAAGTATTCTAAAGTGTGTCTTACAGTTTTTGTAGGACTCATTCACAACTTATCTATAATTATAATGACACTAGGTAATCAGGCCACAAAGCTGCGACGGGAAATTCGTGACACTGGAATGGACAAATCCATGAGTATGAAATTCATCTTGCACTGATGAATAAAGAGAGATAGATTGGTTCGAAATTAACATCATGTGTACTGATTGTATGGTTTTATGTGCACATAACAGACTGAGAATTTTCATAAAAATCAGTGTTTCTCCTCATTGTAATTCAGAAGAGTTATTCAATCTCTAGGTGGCTTGGTTGTGAATTTCACGTCATTTTAAAAACGTGGCGAAAAAATAGACATCCATTAGACCAAAAGGGTAACTAAGTGCGTCGGTGATACAGTGGTTAAGACTCTCTCCTACCATGCACATGGTCCGAGGTTCGAGCCCACCCCGGCGCACACCTCATATTTATGGTCGGCCTGCAAAATTTGGGCTACCGATATCCATGCTGAAAATTCCATACTTGTACCAAAAATACAGTGTGGAATCAAGCTGTAATCAAAAGTATCAAAAAATAAAAACTTCACACTTCTTGGCTGAGTCACTAGACCCAACTTCATTTCTCACTCACTTCAACCGTGTGTGTACTCGTCTACTTTGGTATCGTTAGTTTGTAACAACTATTTTATCAATATCTTAATGTTATTCTTATTTCGTGTTCCATTTCTGCCAATGTGATTATTCTGATCACCTCGAAAATATCCTAGAGTCAACTCTGTTCCTACTCTGCGCAATATCCGATGACACCGAACTACTTTCTGTGCATTTGTTGTTATTTTATTAGCTTTAGGATCAGTAAGACGTAAGTTGATACTGCGTGAATGTTTTCATAGGGGATTAAATGACTATGACAACAGCATACACACTTGTAACACTTCAGTTCTTAGCTGATATTAATGTGAAAATGGCATTTTTGTGCTGTTAGATTGATTCGATGTTTTACAACGACGTTTGCTGAAATTCGTCGTAGAAGCGTCGGTGGCACAGTGGTTAGGACTCTCGCCGACCATGCACATGGTCCGGGGTTCGAGCCCACCCGGCGCACACCTCATATTTATGGTCGGCCTGCAAAATTTGGGCTACCGATATCCATGCTGAAAATTCCATACTTTTACCAAAAATACAGTGTGGAATCCAGCTGTAAATCAAAAAAAAAAAACAGTTAATCACTGGCCCTTTCGAAATTTTGATCAATTTCATTTTTTCACTGGATAACACGAGTGAAAATGTTTACGAAATTCCGATTGCTTGTACATTGAATTTCATACAACACTTTTATGAGTTTGCGATTCCTTAGTCTTCAAAATAAGATATTTACTAAAAAAATGTGCATGAGAATATAAAACAACATAGTGTGCTTCATCCATACTGTTATCTGAAGTTTGAAGAAGAATTTCAATTCGTAGAACCGACGTCATAGGACATCCTATGTAGCTCTCTCTTCCTACAAGTGACAGAGTTGAAAATATCCTGGTGTTTCTCGAAATCCATAGACAATGCGAAGAGAAGGTCGCACGACACAAAGTAATAATCACTAGTGTGAATACTAACTTGCTGGAGAAATGTATGCACTTGAGACAGTTAATTTTCAGATTCCAACTGAAATAATCCTAGTCAACCGTAGTAGATTTATTTAAAGTGCTTTGACGCAAAGCTCAGAATCCACTGCATTTATTCGCCTGTAAGCAGAAGACGACTGATCGGACATAACTGGCTGGCTAACTCTCTTTCTATTGATACGAAAACTGAACGTGAATTCCGTGTTGTTGATTCCTCTCATTTGCACAAAGAATCTAAATTCACAGTGATCTTTGATTCTATTCTGTCGCTGAGCTGAGTTTTACGACTTCATACAGACTGAAGTATGTTACACGTTACTCCTCTTTCTCTTAATTTAGTTATCAACAAAGCGAGAAGAGATGTGATTGAAGCCATTGAGAATCATTGCAGTAAGAGAGTAGTTCATTTTTATCACATATGTGTAAACACTTCCACGAAAGAGAAACATATTTACCTTCAATACATTCCACTTAGTCGATAGTTGACCATAAACTGTTTGATTTTGAACATGGTGTTTTCATTTCAAGTTCGGTTCCATCAAAAATAATCATAAAATAGACGAGTAGTGCAAACTCGGTAATACTAAGTGCATGTTGAGGAAACAACCGGAGATTTAAATTTGCTTATTGTGAATGCGTTTTCTGGAGAACCACATTTTATGTGAATATCTAGTGAGTACAACTACAGAATATAATGCTGCTGGCGAATAATCGTCATCTGATGTGAGAGTAGGGAAGTTCGAGTGAGGAGATATGAAGGAATTAGTCAGTTTACGTTCTACACCTTTATACACATATATCCATTTGTCCACCTTAAATAATTTATCTCTCTCCACAGGACTGGCTCGAATGAACTTGTATTCTGCCGACGTGTTTCGGTCAACCGCCTCGACACTTTTCGGTAACTAAAATCCCATTTTGACTAGTCGTTTTAGTAACATTTAAAGCAATGCCTTCGTTTTAGTACATGTATGTGTTTTATGTGTCTGACTAATTGAATCAAAGTCTTGTGGCAAGTAATTTAGTAATCACACTTCAAATCTGAATTCTATCAGCACTGATGACAAGATAGATCGAATGGCTATTATTCAGTAGTCAGTTCATGTAAAACAATGCAGTCTGTCACATGATATTCCAGTTGAATTATTTGACGTGCATCACTTATGCAGCTGTAGTTGAATGATTATATTAGTGTAGTCAATGTATACCAATCCACAACGTACATGTGTAGTACAATGAGTGATATTAAAGTCAAAGAAATGATTTGTGGTCGGAGGATAGGAAGTATTTATCACCCAATTTAAATTATGCATTGCTATCTAGTCGTTGAAGATTACTACACTCACAAAAACATGAAAATCGATGAGCGTTTACATCACTGAAGTATCACACAGTTTCCTCATGTTTCAGATCTAACAAATCAACGTCTAGGTGGTCAAATATCAGATTTTCTAACGTGTAAGTTATAATTTCTGTGTGAGAATAATGTTTCACAATTTAGACATAAACTGCACACACAGGATATATGAGCGAACGCATCGAATAAAAGTGTACAAAGGTGAGTCACTTATCAGATGCTTTTGATGATATATTCACAAAACGAAAGTGAATCAGCCATGCCTCCAAATAAATTCAGATTATTTTCTTAATTCGGCAAGACTACATCAAATGCGGTTTTTCAGTTGAATAAAAGTATTCAGAATACTAAATTTATTTGAAATCCATGTTAGTTACATTCAACTTGAGGAGACATTGGCTGTCGAATGACTCTCAGCTTTAGATTGGAAAGCAAACATCAGGGCGGCAGAACCCCTTATTAGCCTGGAAACGAAGTCACTAAAATATGAAACACTATTCCAAGCTATTCATCACACCGAAATTATTTCCTTTCTCCGACCAGGAATAACTGAATTTTGGCTGTGTGATATGATAGACATACCCTATTGGCGAATGTCTGACTCATAGCTGTCACCAAGTTAGCTCAGGTGTACTGTCCGGGATATTCCTACAGTTCCGTCGAGTCGTGAGTGGACGTCACTTCATTGCAGTCTTGACGGGCAGCTAAATAGTTGTGTTCATATGGTAATCGAAAACTACCTTCATTCAGCATAGTTGAACATGTCAGTGAAATCCACGTCTCTTAAATCATTTAACATTATGAGCAGCATACCCAATTGTTCCAAATCGTCAGTCGACTTGAATCGTCCTGATGTAACCGACCCGTCATCAAAATGTAAAGCATAATTGTTCAAGAATTGGTTCCTTTGTAGAAGGCGAATTCATTTCGTAGTTTAATCCTTCATAACCGATGTTATTCAGTTGTATTCAAACCATAACTAACTTAAATGAAAATCATTCAGATATCGCAGATGCATTGGAAAACATGACAACTAAGAACGGTAAGTAGTCAGATGTTTTCAGTGATTCTCTATCCAATGCTAATAAACGCTGTTATAAACTTGCACTGTAAAATTATCTATATGGTCATATATATATATATATATATATATATATATATATATATATATATATATATATATATATATGTAAAGCACGTGATCTAGGCAAATACGTATTTTTGGTAAATTCTCATCAGGCTTTACAGTTGGATAGTAAAATATTAGTCACAGACATATGAAACAATGTGGGTCAAGATAATCCAATTTAGTCAAGTAGGATGATATAAACAAAAATAAAATTGTGAGACTAAGATTGAAACATTAAACTATAGCACAGTATGGTGTTGATTTTAAAGATAAAATCAGCAGTGTCACCTTGAGAGATAGTTATTCTAGTCTGGAATTATAGGCCATGTAGTGGGGGAGGGTTGGACAACGTTCTACTGAACTGTATTGCAATTTTACTTTGGCAACTGTGTCAGCTAAGCTTTGCAACTAAAGCCATAAAAGCTTAGAACACTGACGTGGCACCTTGTAAATAATTGTAAAAGGAATAATCTGATTCAAACACAATGTTTCTTCTGGTAGAATTGAACTAACTGATATAAATGCTATTTCTACTCAATCTACTAGCAATACTTCACAGAAGATTTAGCGATTCCATTAACTCCTACAGAGAATTACAAAGTCGATATCGAAGTGAGCTCTATTCTAATTTTGCGTATACATGTATATTTCTCTTTCCCTTTTGTTTCAATTTACAAATCAGTAGGTAATTTTGTAACACACACTAGCTGACAATAGTTAGCCAGTCGGTGTTCCCATGCATTTTAGTTGAATTGAGAGAAGGAATTGTTCGATGAAGAGGACAGTCATAGTAAAAGTTTTTCAGCGTCGACCATCTTGTCGATCATCTTGTCTTTCATCCTGTTGGCATCCGAGTGGAATATAGGGCCTCAAACCTTGATATTCCATCAGCAGGAACAGTAGCAGTATTGACAGCATGATACGCACATTTCTGTATCCTTCCGACTTAATGTTGACTTCTAAGCTTCACTGTTTTATAAGTGAGTCAGCTGGGAATGAAACCCCAATCACGTGGTCGCCTGATCAGCATTCCAGTATTGAGCCATTGAACTTTCTATGCATTTCAAACCGTTAAGAATTTCAATCTCTACCACCCAATAACTTCATAAGACGCTTCGATGTGAATTCACTGCCCTGCAGATGTTGAAGCACGTCAAATTTCTTTTCAATACCTCCATTCTGTTGTCCATCCGACGATATACCCATATCACTGTGTGAGTCATGTTGTCGATCTCATCCAAATTAACGAGTCGTTTTCTCAATGTCATCTCGCTTTTTCCATCCTATCTCTCCTTCCCTGTTTCCTCTCAAATTTGTCAGGTGCAACAGACACTTTCAGAAATGCAAAGTCGACGCTGGCACACAGACCAGGCATTTGATTAATGTCACATGCTTTTCAAATGCTTCTCATCTTTCTTGCAGGTGTTATTGTAGAACGTTCAGAATAGTGGGTATAATTCAAAGGTGCTGCCTAGAGCAAGACGGATGTGGGCTGCTTCAGCAGCTAGTGATTATTCTGATAATTTAATCAGGAAGTGTAGAAGGAATTGTAGGAAGAAGAGCAAAACAAATAATAAAGGTGAAGTGTAAAACAGACATTCACACGAAGATGACAATATCAGTAGTGCCATCACATAAATGGGGAGCCTTTCAAAGCCTACGTAGAAAACTTGACAGACAGTAATAAAAGTGGCATTCAATTAGTGTGTGAGGCCATTTACGTGTATCGAAATTGTCTATCGGGATGACTTAGATTGTCAGGGCTGAAAACTCTAGTAAACGCTGGACTAGTGGACCATATCTAGCGATAAGTACAATAGGAAAAGACAACGCGATGGTCTTAACGTTTAATATATTAGTGTGTAATCAACTAAGAATACCAGAGATAGGAATGATTCGACATCTGTCATGAACTCCTAGCAGATTCTATTATTCTCGCGAGTAACAGGAAAGAATAAAGAAAACGTTAATGGTTTCAGTTTCACATTTGTGCTGATGTAAGTGATATGGTTACGAACAACGAATTGTATCGAATAAATTGTATCAAGTTATTAATACCCTTTCCCTATATGAAATAATGAGTGGGAAATTACTTACTATCATGGTATCCTCGTTTGACACATGAATAACAGTTCAGACACATATGATACTACACGACGTTGTGCTGTTTTTTTCTATTTGTGAACTGCACTACTCCTCACTATTCACTCCAATACACCTCACTGATTCGATCTAATCTATCTCTTTTCTCTCAATTTTGCAGATGCACAGCCGCTTCATGAATGCAATCCTCCTTTGCCACTTGATAATGCACCAGGTAGTTACTAGACTAAACACCTAGAATAAATATTCCCCATTTATTTTTCACATGCTATACACTATGGTTAGTTCAAAGGCTGCCAAGAAAACGCCGCAACCAAACATCAACTACCCTATCTCATTGGAGTCGTACTCTCAATCTATGATCAGGCGGATCGAAGTGCTTTTCTATTGTCAGAAAATAAGTCATTTTGAGCCAATCCATTGAAATGCGATGATAAACTAACACAGATCGACTCCTCCAGATTATCTGTAACTCACAGCTGTACACGATTAGAGGAAAGATCATGTCAAATAAATGCGGCTTACAAACATTTAATTATCAGCCAAATGGATGGTCAATCTATGATGACGACATTAGCCAGGTAGCCTTTTACGTAGTCGTGTTGCAACCAATGCTGGTTGAAAAGATCGTGAAAAGACGCTACACACTAGAGAGGTTTTGCAGTCGCATCCCTTGAACATGAATGTTGAATTATCTCGTCATGATGACTTTTTTCAAACCTACATACACTGTAAGTTTCCATCACGAAATTTAAAAACCGCCTACCGTTTTCCTTCCTTTCCCCCATTCAGAAATGTTAACAATAGACAGCCTGCTAGCCAGAAGACACACGGAGATGACAGAGTATGAAACAAATACAGGTGAGTACAATGAAATGTTTTTAAATCCACGCTTACTCTTGATACTCGCTATTGGATAAGACGACATTGTCTACACCTCAATGATCTCAGTGGACATAGTCCACAGCCGGTGCACAGAATTCGAATAGCAGACTTAAGGGACGTTCAATACACTAGGCATAATCCGGTGATCGATTCACGTGCACTTTGTTGTTAGTGATATTAACTTTCAGTAGTAAGCGATGTGAAATTATCCTTAAAGGGTTAAATGTAGATCGACTTACATCCACTTTGCATTGTGTCATGAATATATTTTGTCTTCTTATTTTTTCAGAATTGAAAACTGTCTTTGAACGAATGTATCAATATCTGATGGTGAGATTATAACAATTTTGCCAGCATGTGATGTTTGGTGTTTCATAGTTAAGACTTTGTACTGAGTTCACCATATGCATTTCACCTTTTCTTTCCATATGTGTATATACATTTATTCCTGTGAACCTTAGTAAACACTTTATTGTAAAAGCTGTATACACAATACCATAGTAGATAAGTTTATCTTAAAATAACACAGAGAGATGCAGGATTTATCCTGTTGTTAATCAGTTGCTGAATTCATCCATTTCCACCTAGAATGTTTTTGAGTTTGTAAGATTTTCAAGGAGAACGTCAGAGAAGAGTACATCCTCATCGATATTTAGGCCAAATTCGCGAAACTCACCGTACCCAGCATACATTACAATCGAAATGCAAGTCTTTAGAAAGAACTGTCAGTTCATGCATGTTTGAGCAGACGACTGAAGTCATAGAGCAGAAGAGATCCAAATCATTTCACCGAACATATTAATACAAGATGGCGTTTGAAAACAGATTTCATATTTACGATAAAACTCTTCACCAAATTACAGTGAAAACGCTGTTAAATGGAAATTCAGTTCAAATATGACTGTTTCTAGCCTAGAGAAAGGCATTTCTATCAGAAATTCATGTTTCAGTGAGATAGTGAGGGACTTTTAGTGGTCAGAAACGAAAGACTCAGGATTTCTAACCACTTTTGATCAAGATATAAGTGTGTGCTAAAATATTTGATGCTGAAGCATCCAGTGAAATCAACTTTGATCACGAACGGATGTCAGCTATGGAACCACAGGAAATCAGGGAGTATTCTACCCACCAGGATTAGAATCCAGGACCTTCCTGTTACAGGTCAAGCATGTATACCATCGAGTCTCTGTGGCTCGAACCAGTGCTCTATGGATTCCATCTCCAACCCTTACAAGTTAATCTGATGCTCGCTGGTGAGTGGCTACATGGATATGTTTCCTGGACGTCTAGTTAAATGTCGCGATCGGTGTGTCGCACCATGTAGGACGTGAGGAAGAATACTCATCGGTAATATTGGCCGGTTGAAGCGTTGGTGGAGGTCAGAATTCATGGGCCATTGGTTCTGATTGCAGTGGCTAAATGGTCTACGAGCTTGACTTGTAACCCGAATCTCCTGAGTTTGGTTAACGGTGAGGCAGTATCTCTGAGAAGCCCCACGCTAGGACGAAACATCTTTTCAGTACTTCCTGGTTCTCACCGGTTCCATAACAGTTAATGATCAAGCTTGAAACAAATCAAAATCCTAAATATGACTCTTCAGAACAAATTTTTATAAATTTTATACCTGTCTTCAAGGTTCTTCGAGAACGTTGGCTGTTGTCAGCGTATTCAGTTTTGGTGGTGTAACTGTGCGGTGAGCAGTGTAGAACAAAGAATCTCGTCATGAAGATAACTGTAACAGTAAACTGTAGAATGAAGAGTAAATGAATAACATATAACGTAATTTTGATATTTAATTACTGAATGTGAATTGGAAATGTGTGGTGAATATTTTTTTCATAAACTGTTGCACTCTCTAATTGTCTGTTATCACCTCTTCCTATTATTCGCACAAATACAATATAAATAAATCTGATAATTACTTCTATCCGACTTCTGTTCATTCGGTGCTAGACTGTATTTGTTAATATTCCCATTAACACTGATTACAAATATGAACCATGTTACTTTTATTTCGCCATTGATTCCTGTGTGTTTCACATGGTGATACATATTACTAGTAAGTAGTGTGAGTGCACATTTTGTTAAATATGTCCATAAATGTTCACTCCATGACCGTAACTATTATTCTCCACTGAAATTTATCTCATTTAATGTATTTCCATTCCATTTGTTCTCTGGTATTCACCTGCCTATGGTTGGACGAAATCTTCACTAAATGTCTTCTGCATATTCACTTACCCTCTGAATCTCCTTGGTTTTCAACTCAGTTTTGATTTTCTTGTGGATTGATTGCACAGAAGTGTTCGGCGTCTGCAGATATGTCGGCTCCTAGCGTGAACACATCGATGATGTCTGAGGATTGACTTGAAGAAAACACCTAGTTCCAAAATTCTTGATCTGTGCATTCGCGTCTTGTTTATGAATGACAGGATGAACTCTTCTAGACACAACTCCACTGTTTCTGTATCCATTGAGTGAAACTTGCATGCAAGATTAGAAGAATTCAGCTGAATTAGTCAGGACCACATTCCTTCAACTGTCACTCAAACAATAGTGAGGTATATACGGGAAGCAGGAATAATGCGCTAATTAGCAAATTTCCAGGAAATCAATCCAAATTCCAGATGGAAGAGGAGACGTAAGTAAAACTGAGTAAGTTGTTAAGTTAACCTTCTTCGAGTAATATACAACGACATCTCCTTCAGTTTCCGACACCGAGTTTTATCGAGTTTCCAAGGCACAAATCATTTGTGAGCTAAACTATCTAACTGGAACAATACATACACGTCGAATAGGGTAGTGTTCATAGTAGGAATTCAGGCTTTTGTGTTCCTAATATCTGTGCATCAGCACAAACTCCACTAATCCATTTCGAATACTTCTTCATGATCAAAGAAACTGTTGTGCGTCACTGTAAGATAAAAGATGTACTGGATATTTGGTTGATCAGTTCCTTCCTTCGGAAGAGGAAGGCTGGTGTCACAGAGTTTCATGTGCATCTTATGCAAGTGGAAATTGTCATAGTCAGTTGGTTGTGTATATGATTTACTACAATGGTCTAATGAGCTATTGGTTACTTACTAATCAACGTGCAAACTGAACGCTGAGATTTAGTAGGGTGTCTGTAATCATTTGGACCGAAAAGCGAAAACAAACAGTGTCAAACGCTTGTGCCCTTTTGAAAAGTTACTAACCAATCTACCAAACATAAATATTGAAAGAAATAATCTTCATGAACATATCGATATTGATACGTCTAACAAGTCGCGTGAATTGGATTTCAAAATGACTCCTAGTAAAGCATTTAGTGCAAATACTGATGACGGAGGGATGTGCAATCAAATAATCAATGCGCATATTTACTTTCGTGAGAATTTCACAGATGTCTCATGACTGAAATTTCATGCTTCATTGATTGTTCAGGATGGGAAAACAATGTGCTAACGTCATCAGCGAAGAATGTTGGTTAGCACGATAGGTATAAATTTTGAGTGTCGTGACACTGCAATGATGACGATAATCATTTGCATGAATTGACATGCAAATCCACCTAATTGGAGTCACAAGGGTGGAGTGTAGGAGCGTTGTTCTAGTTTTGTAAACAACATTCATCTGCATCTTCCATGAATTTTCCTGAGGAATATAGATATTGCTTTGTCCTAACTTGATTTGGCTACCAATCTTTTTCACAGTGAATCACCCACTCACTCAATCACTGAAGTATAACGATGCGAGCAACCACAGTTAAATTCATCTCGTACGGGATAGATGATAATTGGCGTCACTCAAATTGTTCACAAACTGTTGCTAATCTCCTGTCAACTTCAGTATTTGCGGAAGGGTCAAGGTTTGTATGCAATCTGTGAATCAATTAATTTGAGAATACATGGTCACACTGGTAATCTGCTTCATGGATCTTAACTGCAAGTTATCAAATATACAACCAATGTGTAGTGGAAACCTTACTAAATTGTGTTTTGGAAGGACCATACGCATAACTTGTGATGTTTCGGACAACATTTTAACTATTTTGAATGGTCTACTGATAAATAGGATAGTAGGAAGAAATGGCAGTGAATGGGTCTCATTTTTTCAATAGATTTAAAATTGTAGTTTCTACCCAACAAAGTTTGTTTTTTAAAAATTATTCAGTGATGTTGAGTATTTCATTGAATGAGTTCAACACCGACTTATAATTCCAGTTGTAAAACGATGATGATTTTACACATATTGTCTGGTGAAACTGACGGTGCCCCAATAATCTTCAAATCAGATTTACGTTATGTACGTTTGTATAACACACACATTTTCCAATTATGACCCGGACTGTTGACATCCCCGCCGATAGAGATGTTATCAGTCGAGGTCAGATATAATAAAATGGTCGTGATGTATTCGTGATTATCTCTAATTAGGATGTGGACTTGGTTATTCTCCCATCATTGAAATGACTGAATCTGCTCTTCTGTCTTTATGGGGAGTTCACTTTTCCTTTGCTATGCTCAGTTTTCTTTGCTCAGTGGTTTTTCAATGAGAATGTGTATTATGCTCGTGCTAAGTGTGCCATTTGTCTTTCACATCTTCTAAAGCTGCCTCGATCACCTGTATAATTATACTAATTCCCTGCAATTCGTGTGCCTTTTTTGTTTGGTTTGTTGGTTGAAAACACTGAGTACCTTTTCAACACCTAAATCATCTCCGTAATCTATACGATTTTTCGTTAATGAAGTTGTTGAAACCTGTCCTCAGCTTCCTTCAAGCACCTGGTCTGGTGGCCCGTCGTGCAAGTGAACAAGCGACCTTCCTTAAGATACACACTCAAACTGATATACGCCGTTAGCTGATTCGAATAATCGAGACCAGTCTTTACCACAGCTTCAAAGAATTGTTTTGACGATAATGAATATGAGCCTTTTCAGTCATATATTTAACACCCCATAATACATTTAGCACTGTGTGTTAAGCATTCAGTTAGAAAAATTTAGTGAATTCGGATGAATTCATTCAGGTCCGCTATACGGACATCCGTGCTTGTATTCGAAATTTTCCTGGGATTGTAACTTGAGCATAAATAGCTAGAGAGGAGATTAAAATAATGAAATTAAACAAATAAGGAAGACACTGATGGTAATTGACTACCATCCAGACATCATACAGTATGCTAAATACTGATGATTGACTCATGTAACGAAATGCACAACACCCATATCAACCAGCGGTGCTTGAAACCAGATGTAAGCAATCTAAGCATCTAACAGAAAACTGGTAATGCACTGAGACAAACTCGCCCTCCACTGAATGTGCGAAGACGCATAAGAAAATTAAGAGAATAGATGTAA